AAGTTTTACAGGAAGCTGTTCGTCTGGCACAGGAATCGGGCCGCAGGAGTCGCAGTGAATGATGGGAATAGGAGTGCCCCAGTACCGTTGTCGGCTGATCAACCAGTCTCGGAGACGCCACTTCTCGACAGGCTTTGCAAGATCAGCCTTCTCAAGCAGCCTGACAATTTCTTCACCAGCAGCCACTGAATTCTTGCCCTTGAAGGAACCACTATGTTCGGTCATAACGCCATGCTCGACAAAGGGCTCGTTCTTCATAGCTGTTGTTGACTCATCCTCTGATGCAGAGAGAACTTGTCGGACAGGCACATCGTAGTGATGTTCTTTCCAGAACGCATTATCCCGCAGATCGTGACCAGGAACACCCATAACAGCACCCTCACCATAATCACCCAAGACATATGGCGCAACATAAACAGGCAGCGAGACCTTGGTGGCATCGGGAGTCTCCTCATGATACGCAAGTGGGTTAATAGCCCGCAGGTGAGGCAACAAATAGCCGACCTTGGAATCCGCAGGCAGACCAGGGATGGTGTCAATGAAAGCTTGTAGTTCAGGGTTCGAAGCCGCGAGCTTAGCTACGATTGGATGACTGGCAGCAAGAGCCACATACTGTACGCCGAAGAGTGTATCAGGTCGAGTGGTGAATACTTCGATCGCTGCATGAATATCGTGGCCCATGGCTAGAACAGGGAATTTGACTGAAGCGCCGGTTGATTTACCCAGCCAATTCTTCTGCTGAGCCAGCACTCTCTCCGGCCAAGCATTTTCCTTTGCAAGTGCCTCAAGCTCCTCGAGAAGGGCTTCACGGAACTCAGAGATGCGGAAAAACCACTGCTTGAGTTTGCGCTTCTCGACCTTGACACCGGACCTCCACGAGTTGCCATTGGCGTCAACCTGCTCGTTAGCAAGAACTGTTTTATCCACAGGGTCCCAGTTGACCTCAGCTTCGGCTTGGTAGGCAAGACCTCTCTCGTGCAACATAAGGAATAGCTTCTGTGTGTGTTTGTAGAATTCGGGATCACAAGTTGATAACTCCTAAAAGAATTATTAGAACAGGAATCATGATCTACATGAGACAGAACCTACACGATCCCAATCCCAACTCCCATTCATGAGTTCCAACTGCTCCTTCATCTTGGCCATGTTACTTCTTGTCCATTTTTCTGGGGCAACTCCTCGTTCAATTGCAGCGTTCTCAGCTGGTAGACCGAAGGCGTCCCATCCCATAGGCAACATGACTTTTTCGCCCCTTAGTGTTCGGAATCGGGCGACGACATCGGCTATGGAGTATACTCGCAAGTGCCCCAAATGGAGTGTGCCCGAGGGATATGGAAACATTGGCAGCACATAATGCTTATCTTGGCCGCCTGTCCCCTTTTCGAAGGCCCTGGAAGTCTCATTAGACTCTCTCCATCTCTGGCGCCATTTTTCGTCTATTGAAGTAAGGTCGATAGCGTAGAACCGTCGTGAGGTTGCTCCGAGAGTCGTAGTTTTGGTGTGGGCAATTATCGGATGTCGAATTGAGCTGGAGGAGAGGCTAGACAAAGCACGCCGAGCCGTGGCGCAGCTCATGAGCCTTTGGTGCAGCAATGGCATTGGTACGCAGGCATGATACGACCCAGAATCGCATCAATTGGGTCGACTTGGGTGTTGACGGGACGTTTCCACTCAAGATTTGAAGCTATTGTGTTCTGCAAGCGATAGTAAAGTGGCTGAAATTTAAAGCTCGAGCCACGTCGGTACATGGGTCATCACTTACACGATAGCCGTCTCCATGTACCGTCGGGTGCGTCATGGCTGCTAACGTCCAGTGGCCAACCCGAGAACGGTCGCTGAAGACCGCTAACAATTCAGTGTGCAAAATGATGTACCCCGCCAACTAGATAGTACGGAAGCCCCGCCACAAAACTCGTCCCCTCCACGATCTAGAATTGGATAAAGAAAACGGACCCCGACGTCTTCGACTCGCCTCACTCCGAGTTATCTCCTTGAGTTGACAGTCCATCTCCTCTTCATCTGAGGACGATAGCTCTTAATCGATAAGAGAGAGCGACAATTCAGCTTTGAGCTAACTGCCCTTCCCGGTATCGCATCTCTCCTCCTCTTCTACTCAATCAACGACGATTCGACAGTTCAAGCACCCCCCGACGATATTCGTCCAACTTTGAGTCTACAACTTTCTCAATTCACATACAACGAATAAACGCGAATCATTGAACCGTCACCATAACCCCCGCCGTCCGTCGCAATGGACAAGATCACCGATCGCATCGCTGCTCTGCCAGCTGATGGCACATACTTCTCTCTCGAATTCTTCCCGCCCAAGACCGCCATGGGCTTCTCCAACTTGCGAGACCGTCTTCACCGGATGGAGCGTGCCCTTCGACCGCTCTTTGTAAATGTCACTTGGGGTGCGGGTGGCAGTACATCCCAAAAATCACTTGAATTGGCCGAGTTGTGTCAGAGAGAGGTCGGACTTACGACTTGCCTGCACCTGACATGCACCAATATGAGCAAGAAACTGATCGATGAGGCGCTTTCAGATGCGAAAGCACTAGGAATCAGAAACATTTTAGCTCTCCGAGGTGATCCCCCTCGAAGAGAGGAATACCGCGACCCAGAAGATTCAGAAGATGATGGAGGCCAAGACTTCAACTGGGCCATTGACCTGGTCAGATATATCCGCAAGACACATGGAGACTACTTCTGTATTGGTGTCGCAGCCTACCCCGAGGGGCATGCCGAAGAGAGCCATCCTCTCGGACAAAGTTTGGAGCATGATCTTCCTTACCTCGTGCAAAAGGTGCAGGCTGGTGCCGACTTCATCCAAACTCAGCTTTTCTTCGATATCGAAGCATACGAACACTTCGAGACCACTCTAAGAGAACACCCCAGCGGTGCCTTTAAGGGTATTCCCATTATTCCAGGACTTATGCCCATTCAGAGCTACCAGATGATCAAGCGCACGACCAAGCTGAGCCATGCCAAAATTCCAGATCATCTCCTCGCACGCCTCGACGCTGTCAAAGGTGATGATGAACGGGTAAAGATGGTCGGCGTGGATATCGTCAGTGAGTTGATAGACAAAATCAAGGACATCAAATCCAAGACACCAGGTCCAAAAGGCTTCCACTTTTACACACTCAACCTGGAGAAGGCCGTATCCTTCATTCTGGAGCGGGCGAATCTCATTCCTGACCCTCCAGAGAACGAAGAAGCCATCGCGGTGGACGAACTAGCCATTCCCTCGCTACAGATCAATGGCAGCGCCAACATGCGTTCTAGCAGCCACTCCCGCTCCCGGCAGTCAAGAAGACATTCTTCTGTTGCCTCAGACCCCCACAATCGTGTGATTGTTGGTGATAGGCCAGCGATGTATCCTGAATGGGAGGCTACTGGACAGGAGGCCGGCGTGCGTGCCGAAGCGATCAATACCCGTGCAAACACTCTCGCCATTTCGGAGGGTGAAGGGGTTTTAGGCCGCGAGGCGACGTGGGATGACTTTCCCAACGGTCGTTTTGGTGACGCTCGATCCCCCGCCTATGGTGAGATTGACGGATACGGCGTAAGCCTCCATATGTCTGTAACACAGGCTGTCAAACTTTGGGGTTACCCCAAGACACGGCAGGATATCAACGACCTGTTCGTCAAGCATATCCAGGGAGAGCTTTCTGCCATCCCCTGGAGTGAGGAGGAGCTTCGGGCTGAGAGTTCAACCATTCAACCTAACCTGCTGCAACTCAATCGTAAGGGCTGGTGGACTGTCGCCTCGCAGCCTGCCGTCAACGGCTTGCGATCCAGCGACGGCACCTTTGGCTGGGGTCCACCCAACGGCTTTGTCTTTCAGAAGTCGTTCGTCGAATTCTTCATCCCCGCCAACGAATGGGACACTCTCAAGGCTAAGCTCACATCGCCGGAGCTGCAAGACTCTGTATGCTTCTACGCCAGCAACGCACGCGGAGATTATCTCTCATCGGACAACAGCGATCACGTGAACGGTTCGACGGAAGCCGGTCCGTCTACAAATGCCGTGACATGGGGTGTGTTCCCCGGAAAGGAGATCATCACACCTACTATTATTGAGGAGGTTAGTTTCCGAGCTTGGAGCGAGGAGGCGTTTGGAATCTGGGGTGAATGGGCCAAGGTGTACGGTCGGGGTTCTGAGAGTGAGAAACTTTTGAGCGGCATCAAGGATGATTATTGGCTGGTCAACGTGATTCATCATGACTTTGTGGAAAGAGATGCCTTGTGGCAGCTTTTGTTAAGTTGAGCAACATGTCTATCCTAGAGACGTAAACATGTCAATGAAAAGAAGGTCAAAATCAAGCAACTCCTGAGTGAGGCATAGTCTCATGCGAGCCACAAAATACTACTGAATCCATGACAACATTTCAAGGCAATTCGATACTCAGCTTGGAAAATATGACTCGGGTTACAGTCCTAAGACAAGACATTCTTACTATGATCTTGCCAGATAATTGCTGCCCTGCACCTGATGCGGTGGTTTTGGCATGTCATGGTATTTACATTATGATGGTTATGTCACGGCCATAAATTGCAGGGCACCGCATTTTAAGACTCACGTTGCTTATTGAAGTGAGCACAATAGCTAGCTAGAACTCGTACATGCCCCATACTATTCATGCCCAAATGAACCCTTACTAACTGGCCGGCTAAGAAGCCACGAAGTGTGCCGAATGCCTGATGTCAAATGAAAGAACTGAATACTTTTGTGTTGCGGGAAAAGGGGGTATCTGTGCTGGGAAAACAGGCGCAAGGGCATGAAATGTGATCAAAATACCGACAGCAAGGCAGTAAGAGCCGATCGAGCCATATGTCGCTAACAAAAAGAACCGGTTCCGCATTCGTGCTTTAGTGGTATGTTGTATAGTACACTCTGTAGAGCTTTCATCCATATTTTGGTGCTGTATCCGTGAACATTTATCAACGGTGTCAGTTATTGCTCAAGCCAGAGATCGCGATTCGAGGTCGAGGATTCAGATCTCTCCGTCACCCCATTCCATGTAGGACGAGTCATCGGGAGGTGGAGCGCGATAGGTTGCCGCGACTGAGAAGATGTCGGGATACCCAAGGCCAGCTGAGTTGATCATGTCAAGACCAGAATTTCCGCCCACGGACGGCTGAGGCTTACGCTCTACGTTGCCAAAGATGGAGGTTGGAGCAACAGGCGCAGAGGAAGGGAGCGCTGCAGCAGGGAGACCGACAGGAGCCGAAGTAGGACCTGGAGTTGGAGTAGGGGCATCTTCGTACGGAGACTCGCTGTCATTGTACTGCGCAGAAGCGCCGGCGATAGTAGCAGCGGCCTTCCGGGCAGCTGTGCGAGAGGGTGTAGGGCCACGAGGAGTACGTCCAGTTGTCTTGACTTTCTTTGAGGGAGTATGATCCATGTCGTCAAAGTTAAGCTCGTCGTCGTCCTCATCTTCTGAGCCAGAACGCTTGATGGGATTCAAGGGCGTATACGAGGTCTTGCGCTTGGATCCCTTGCCCGATCGACTTCCATGCTGGCGCGAGGGAGTCGGCTTGGACGGGGTGTTTGGCAACCCGGATGCGGTCCCAAGGTTGAGGCAGTTGGCGACATCGTCGCCGTTGTTAGCGGCATAACGAAGAGCCTCAGCGTCTTTCTTGATGGTCCGAAACTGGAACTGGATGCCATCTGCGGTAGACTGACCAAAGTATTTGGCGATATCTATGGAGAGCGAGTCAGTGAGAGCTCACAGCAAGAAATCATGATAATGTTATTTGAGAAAAGGCGATCAGGCGGGGAATCGTACTGTTCTTGTCAATAGCTCCCTGTGTGGTAGGGAGAAGGTTTTCGTCGGTGGTCAAATCCTTGACATCGAGACCTTGCTCACGGGCCGCATGGATAATGCTGACAGTTGCCCGAACCTTGCGGAATCGATGATTCAAAGCATGGTCCGTCATGTCAGAGCCGTAACAAGCGGCGATTTCTGGGGAAGAGTCAATCCTCCTCCTGCAGACTCAGCGTTATGGGGAGGGGACACAAAGAGCAAGGGCTTAAGGCCACAAGAGACCCTTGGAAACAAGTGCGACAATATATAAGGAAATCGTCCTCTTACCCTTGTAGTTCCACTTGACGTCGGGATGAGCGGCTACGATGGCGCGAACCATACGGGCCTGAGCCTCGTAGGTCTTGTAGTTGGCTTTGGCATTTGCGGGGGCCATGGCTTCGGCAGAACGTATCTGAGAACTATTAGTCGCCGTGAACAGTTATGGTTAAGGGTCGCGTTGAGGATATATTTGAGAAGTCGTATGAAGCCAAATGTACTTGAGCAATGGGATAGTGCTTGGTGTAGCCAAGTTGAAACTGACCTTGATCAAGGAATTAACAATAGGGTATTTTCTGAGAGGGAGAGGGGGAGAGAGTTGAGCTGATGCGCGAGTGACTCTTATATTTGATAAATAAGAGACAGTGTTGAAGAGGAGAGGAAAGATTGTTGCAATAAGATGATGATGATGATGTGTGGTTGGGATGAGAGAAGAGAAGGTTATAGAGACTCGAGTGCGGGGATAAGATGAAAATGAGAAACTATACTATGACGTGACGAGTAGAAAATAAAGAGATACTTCACTACTTACCTGGGATCAAAGGGCAATGAAAATGTGACTGAGATAGGTGAAAACACTTATAATATAGAGTTGCAATGCGAAGTGTGAATGCGAAGAAGTTGGGGACAAGATGAAAAGAGGCAGAAAAAGATATAGTAAGTTTTGACAGTGATTCACAGTCAAATCCAATAAGTCCTCAAGTTACGAGGAGATGGGAAATTTAGTGCCCACTCAAACGAGTTGTGCAATTGTTTCCAGGCTTGGTGAATAGTAGTTGAGGATAATGGACATCAACCTGCGATTTGTGGTTAGTTGCTGGGCGACCAACTTAGTAGGCAAGCAGCATGGAGAGGCAACCTACCAACCACAACCTGTGACGAAGCGAAAAGGATGTTAAAGGAGCTCAAAGATAAGAGGTATATGCTCGCTAAATGAGTTGAGTTTTGAGGAACAGGTCCTAGGAAAAAAAACCAATTCAGTGGTCGGCTGATCTGGGCATTTGTTGACTTGCAAAGGCCTGTCTGTATAGGAACTGTGGCTAAGTCAATATATGCCACTGCTATGGCAGTGTTGCACCACAGAGGACTTGACAAGCCAGAATCATATGCGAATAGCTCAACAATACAGGAGTTGAGCGAGTCCGCGGTCGGTAGAATGCAAACAATGTCAATATTGATTAATTCTTGAATAAGTTGACGTTGAGTGGCAGAATCTAAGTAAAGGGGCTGGCAATTGGCACGGTTGTGGGTGCAGTGAGGCTGAGATAGCCTGATACCTAGGATCTCTAATACATGAACAGCACATAGCAAAACTAAACAAACATGCAGATAAAAGGAATAAGCATGGTATTATATATATTCATATTAATCAGTATTCTACTGTATCTCTTCGATGATGCTGCTCAAGATGCGCATTTAGCTGCTTGATGGATTCTCAGACATGTACTCCGCTATCACAACATAACGGTGATGGGATGCCACTGTAGCCGGAGCTGAAAGTGGTGGGACTTTGCCTTGTGCCTGTTTCAAAAACAAGCCAGGATCCGCAAGACCCGGCTATCGCTGGGCTTGCGTAATTTGTGGGGTCCTCTGAGATGAAGGAAAATGCTCAAGAAGAAGATATCGCAATGTTCACTGAAGATGTCTTCTTGTTGTAATCACTCTCAGCTCTTGGACTCGGCCTTTCTGACTCGGCCAGGACTGAACTGAACCTTCTAAGCTAGCGTCTCTCATCCATCTCTTTCAAAGAACTTCCTCTCTTTATCCTGACGTTCCTGGCGGCTTTCCACTCCAGCAGCTTTGTATCCAGATGTATGCATCAAGATCCAACATCACTATCATTAGATCATTTATATAATCATGGGCTTGGACGGCTTATTTGGCCTCTTCAGCGCCAACAAATGGTACAGGTCGTCGCGTAGGGGTGAGGCTCCGGCTATGACTTCGTGTAGTTGACTTGGGTGCCTCCCACTCGACCATGGGGTGTTCCTTGATTTGCGCTGGCTCCTCGGGGCTATTGTAAAGCAAGTACTGGAAACCAAGGAAGAAGTCGCACGAAGCCTGGAACATACCCGAAATCTTGAACGACCAAGGAATTCCGGATTTTGACGTAAAGAACCAGAAAAGCTTCATGGTATCACCGCCAATCCAAGCTGCCAGGACCGATAATCGTAGACCTTTTGATGACTTGGACCGCATATTGACCAAGATCTGCGGGATAGGGAGAGTCGCTTCTACGCCAAGTCCAATGCATCCGATGGTGTTCGCATATACGGCGTATAGTCCAGGCATCTGGGAAAGGAGAAGCTCCAAAAACACAAGACCAGCAGCAAAGTACATAATAGCATGCCAGTATCTATGATCAGTCAGACCAAGCAAATCGACATATAAATGGGGGGGGGAAGACCCTACCGTCGAGGGGATCGCCATTGCCAAAAGTTATAAGGACGCTGGAAGCCCATTAAACCATCATCAGCACCGGCAAATGGCAAACCGGCCTCGCCGCCCTTGGTAGGTGGGGGAGGTCGGTAGTCTAGGGCGACTTTTAGGAGAGCTATTTGGACGATAACCATCAGCAGCGACTGAAGGAGTAGACTCGTATCGTATTGCGCTTGGGGCCAGTAGAAGATTCTGTTTCGGGACGCGCGGGTCAGTTATATTCAGTGCTAATCGTGTCGCGACAGGAGAGATCGAACCTCAGGAAAGACGCGACGAGCATGATGAGAGGGATGTCGAGCGAGAAGCCTGCACTGGTCTTATTTCGGTACATGGAGATAATTTGATCGGCGTAGGAGAGGATGGGCGACATGACGATGAAAAAGGGGGCCACCCAGGCCGTAAGCTCCATCACCCATCCCACGAATCCTGGCTCCATTATGTCGTTCTTTCGAAAGGAAGGGGCCGGCTCGAGTGTGATTGTTTGATATGTTCAGATATTCAACGCGACTTCAGGTCAAGATGAAAACGAGAGGATTGCGATGATGGTGACGAGGACGATGATGACACCTTCATTCGAACGAGAACACGCTTGAGATGCTCCAAATTAGATAATCGATATGTGGTAAAGAGAAGCGAGCGACCCAAATGCTGGAAACAACAAGAGGCTGAAGAAAATAAGTTCTGAGGTGAGAGACAAAATTCCAAGTAAGAAGCGGCGTTGAATCGAGTGGATGCATGGGTAAAGGGGAGGTCAAATCGACCAAGACAGTCTAGTCGGTCTTGGGCAATTTTGATAATGGGCGTTCTAGAAGGGGGATTGGCCAATCATGGCTGATGCAGGGGTGAACATCGGTCATCCCCGCTGAAGTTTCAGTGAGCAGAAGCTTAGCTGGGAGGCTCTGTCTCGAAGCCAAGCCCCTAATGCTGCCCTGACAGTGGGAAAGACAGGGCGGGTTGCGGCTGTCGGCACTTGAATACTTGATCCAATGGGGAGGCTTGAAGCCATATGGATAGTCCCGACGACCTGGGATTAATCTCCATTCCAGGACATTTGCTTTGTCCGGATTGGCTGGTCGATTTGCAATGCATCGAGACACGCGTTCCCAACCGCAAGTCTTCGTGTCTATTAATATCATTTGCTGGTCTCGTCAATCTGTATGAAACAGTCAGTGATCGCGGCCTCTGCCTTCGAGGACATCCTACACAAGCACCATTGTGCTGTTCCCATTGTTATCAAGCGGAAATTGTAACGGAGCTATTGCAGTCATCATCCTCGCAATGCTTTGGTCAGTGCTTTCGCTCTTTGCTGTTTCTGGGATAAGACTGCAAGGGGATATTTCCACCCATGTTGGTTGACTACCTACAGCCATGTGACAAGTTTCCCCTTTGAGGCAGAGGCTGGCCTCAGGGAGCAACAAAACATCAGGCCTTGATGTAGGATGTCAAAATAAATTTAGCAAATAATCCCCTAAGCTTAGGCTAGACTTGCCTAAACATTTTCATCACTTAGGGTCAAGGTCCTGAGTTTCCTTGCCTCCCCTAGGCTGTGTGTAACTCCAAGGAATTGTGACAAGCTCATATACATTGAATGCGGTAGGTTCCTTTGGGGGAGATCCTATACAAGGTAACGATAAAATCAGTATGAAAACATGATCTCTTTGAAGTGAAGGTTAAAGTTGGTCTCTCTCATCATTGACAGCAGCTTCATATGCTTGCAGAGGTTGTGAAATTCTCTAAAAACTACTCTTGATCCTGCTAGCAACGAAAGATCAAGCGATCAGCAGCGAGGCATTCAAGATTTTGGACTACGGAACACATATGCTACTACAAAGACACGTAAATTCTGATGCAGAGGAGCGTACTCCATAGACACAAGTCAATCACTTGTCAATGAACCTCAAGGGCAACCTCAGCAGATCCAGTAACCTGGAAAGAATGAGGAGATCTTGCAGTGTATTGCCAATTTATCCCCAATGTTATAAACCGTAAAGGCTAAATGTTGATGTCCTCGATTGTGGTATAAAGAAGAATACCGATGATGAGTTAAACAGAGGCTGTTTAACGGAAACGTTTACAATATTTTCCACCCTGATTAGTATAACAGCTTTTGGAACTCTATAGAGCCGTAGGCCATAAAACGCAATTCTATGGACATACTGCTAACTACAGCCTTAGATGCACCACCTATTGGCATAGATATTATAACAGGTTCCTACATTGTTTTTCACTGTTGCCTGATTTTATCTATTGTGCATGGAAAGAGCCTATTGATATCCTATTGTTAAACTGGGCGGCACTGCCCTGCCAGTGTCAGCTCGGCATGCTATTGTTCTCCTCCTCGTCTCTGTATCACTGCCAGCCCCAGGCCGCATAAAAACTCACAACTTTCTCCTCAACTCCTTAACTCCTCACCATTTCACTTTCATCCTCGCCTTTCTCCTCTACAAAGCCAGATATCTTTGGCCACCTTGCTTCTTGCTTCTTCCTTTTCACTTTCCACCACATCGCATCTCATCAAAAAGCCATGGAGCTCACGACTCCTGAGAGACGAGAGCGTCCCTCGCGAGCTGCGGCCCCCAAGAGTTTTAAGGATCCCGAAAGCGACTCTGATGAGCCAATCATCCCACGCTTCCGCTCCGTGTCTTCCGCGAGATCTCGATCAATTCATGTCAAAGATGAGACTGTGCACTCCAGCTCCGATCCTGCGGTCGAGACTTCTCTTCTTCCCACCTTAAACCAGTCCGCTGTGCTTAAGAAACGATCATCCTCCGACGAGGAAGCCGACTCTCCCAACAAAAAGGTGCGGAAGATTGTTCTTAAGACCAACAAGTCTGCGACCGCCAGCAACAATTCTTCTCCCAGGCCAGTCACGCCGGACCTCTCACACGCTGAGGATTCGCCCTCTAACAACCTTTCTGACATCCAAAGCCTCCATGAAGGCCTGACATCTGTCCAGAAACGAATCTCAACTACTCTGCGCAAGACTGAACTCGCGGTTAAGCTTGACGCGGCCCAGAAGAAAATCGCTTCTCTTGAACGCCAAGTCCTCGAGGCTAGTTCACCGGACGACAGCACTTCCAAGCTCAAACAATGTGAAGAGAAACTCGCCGCGGCCATGAAGAGAAATAGTAGACTGGCTAACCACAACGTTGAACTCACCAGAAACCTCAAGGACACACAGGCTTATGCCAACGGCAGACAGGCCTATGCCGACGGGTTGAGAAGGGAAATAGCTGTCATGTGTGATGAAAGAGACCCCAACTTCAATGATGCATTCAAGGTGACCGACGACGAGGTCGAACGTGCCTGGGACGGTATAAGATACGACATCTTCAGCTTCGTTGCTCAGGTCCTCACAGTAAAGCCTTTCCGAAAGACGGCTCCCCGGGGAGCAGATCACAGCGTGGTCGAAGCGCTCAAAAAGGAGCAAAAGAAAGATGCCAACCTGGCTGAGTTCTATTTTGAGCAGTATATCTGGAAGTGCCTTGTTCTTCACATTTTCCAAGGTGAAGCAGCCATCTTCGGTGGTCCTGCAGGCAGAGTTTTCCAGTTGTTCTGCTTGGACATCTCTAGTATGACCTCCAACCTACCCATATCTTACTGTAGTGTATTAACAAAGCACAGAGATCGATTGCGAGAGCATGCCAGAACTGAGTCGTGTCAAAGCTCACACAGCCAACCTTTTATATAAGCAGTTCGACGAAAACAACCAGAAAGAGGCTAAAGGCATCGTCGACAGGATGAAGAATGACCTAGCCATCTTCATGGGCTCTGACCAGGAACACAAGGCGGAAGAGAGGCTTAAAAACATTGTCAGCAAAGCGGTCTGGTTGAACAGCCAGTTCCTCAAGTCTAGGGCGTTCTTCGTGACAGACTGGGACATCGACGACGAGTGCGATAACTTTGACGACCTCAATGTTTGCCACAGAAGTGGTATCCAGGGCGGGAAGCCAGTCGTTGGGATTCATATCTCGCCCAGACTCAGCAAGATCGGCAATGCCGATGGCGAATTCTTCAACTCGACCAACGCCATGGTCATTTGCAAACCAATAGTCACGCTGAACTATGAATAATGTGTGCAGACCTGTATTCGAGAATATCATGTCACTGCCAGTTGGGATGAGGTCGTTGCCAGGTTACTTATGAAGATGCCGGTAAGGAGTTCGGAGCAAGTCTAGGCCTAGGCCAGAGGTCAGGGTTTCAGGAGTATGTCCAGCATATGATCTGAAGAAAATGTATGTATCGATGGTCGACAAGGGAATCATCACTTGCAGCTGATCAAGATTGTGTCCATGGGCTGGGAGATTCTCGCTATATTCGAATAGTAGAGGTAATCCAATCAAGTACTACAATTAACTCATAAGAGAATAAATTTCGTCAAAATACTTGTATTTTTCTGTCGAGATGACGGTGATGTTACATTGCGGTTGATCTGATAAGAGCTGATCTGAGGTTGAGCTTGTAAAGTGGGCTGTAGCAACATCATGGATGCCTCAGGCCCTCCATGTGTCGGACACCGCTCAATCCAAGGGTCTAGTCCACTCCTCCTTGTCTTGGCAGCATCAACACGATCGATCTTGTATCGAGGAAAAGATAAGGCTCCTCTTCCTTACATTGCCCTCTCCTAGAGTCCCTTTTGTATCTAGATGATCCCGCATTGACAAAGGTACCCAATCCAAAGGTAAACCCCTCTTCCATGATGAAACTCCTCAGCTAACCTCAACCTCCAACCACAGCTCTATATCTCATCATGCCTGCGATCGAACAAGATGCGCCCGCGACCATCGCGCCCCAAAAGTCAACTCCGACTTTCGACCCCAAGGATGTGACCGTCATCTTCGTTCTCGGAGGCCCTGGCGCCGGCAAGGGCACTCAGTGCTCCAAGCTTGTTTCGGACCACGGCTTCTGTCATCTGTCAGCTGGTGATCTCTTGCGCGCCGAACAGGAAAGACCAGGTTCGCAATATGGAGATCTCATCAAGGACTATATTCGAAACGGCCTCATTGTTCCCATGGAGGTGACTATTGCTCTCCTCGAGAACGCCATGGCCGCCGACCTCAAGGCAAAGGATTCGCAAAAGGGGCGCTTCCTCATTGACGGCTTCCCTCGCAAGATGGACCAGGCAGTCAAGTTTGAAGAGACTGTCTGTCCCGCCAAGCTAGTCCTTTTCTTCGATTGCCCGGAGGACGTCATGGAGTCTCGTCTTCTCGAGCGTGGAAAGACCAGCGGTCGTGACGATGACAACGCCGAGAGTATCCGCAAGCGATTCCGTACCTTCATCGAGACCAGCATGCCTGTCGTCAACCGCTTTGAGGAGGTTGGCAAGGTTCTCAAGCTTGATGCTACCCCTCCTCCTGACGAGGTCTATGCCAACACTGAAAAGGCCCTCGCTGAGAGGTTGGGCCCTGACTTTTAGCGATAAAGCGGTATAGATTGGGATTGCATACACTTGGGAGGAGCTGTGCCGGAGTCGGGCTGTATAGAAATAAAATTCACTAATTCATGTTGCTAAGCCTATAACAAATGAAAACTTTACGTCTCCGACGAAAATTGAAAACTCTTGAATACTTACGTATGCCGGGTGGTTCAGTCGGTATGTAGTTTATATTGAATGCCAGTCACCGGTGTAACCCAAGGCGACGCGATGAATACACCCTTACCTTCATGAATTGATTTGGGCTGCCACGCAAGAACTAATCTGATACTATTAACCAATCGCTAAAAGGGGTATATCTAACTACATTACCAAAGCCCAAAGCCCGCATCATCATCATCACAACCATAGCCTTGCCATGTCTAACTTAACACTTGACACAATCAGTTGTCATCATACATCTTCATCAAACCAGCCTTGATATTCGTCATCTGAGTCCTGTGCATTCGCTCGCGGTTCTCGAGTGCAGTAATACGCTCTTGCATGGTAGCAATTTTGTCGTCTTTGATCTTGAGACTTGACCGCGCAGAGTCACGGCCAAGAACGATGCCCTTGGTGCGACGTGCTGCAGCTTCCAGTATACTCTTTACAGATGACAAAACGCTCTTGTCGATTTGTTGGCCTCTCAGAAGATTCATGACTTCGTCTGTCACATCATAACCCGTCTCCGGAGGGCTGCTTGCAGGAAGCCCTTGCGTTCCGCATGGAGTCTGTGAAGGTGTTGTGTTTGCTGACAGCGTAGTAGATGACATGGAGGGAGTATCTTCAAATGAGACTTGCTTTTGTCTCTTGGATTCGCTGGTGGGAAACAGTGTACGCGATACAGACGGTGTCGGCATCCCCGAGATCGAGCGAGTTGTGGTTGGCGTAGTGAAACGGCTCTGGGCGGCCTTCTCAGCGCTCTTGTCCGCAATAGCAGCCATTTGGCGCTCCTCATCCGAGGCGATATCGCTGAACTCGTCATCATCTTCCTCGAAAACGTCGCGCCGTCTCTTGGTAGGTCCACGACTGGGTGTCTCGACAGCTGCAGTAGGCGGAGAGGGCAGCTTTGAGTGGTCGGCAATTTGTGCATGGTTTCCTATTGATTTGGGTAATGGGGTATCGACTTCTGAATCCTCGCCGGATTCTGTGCTGTCAGCAGAATCATCGTCGCTCTGACGCCGGCTCGGAGTCACTTGGTAGCCATACGACACAAGTGATTGCTGTGTCATGGGCGGAGGTTCAGACTTGGAGGGCTCACTACCTCTACGGGAGGCCTTCAACCCAGACTCGCGTACCTTGGCCTCATCCCTCCAGAGGAAGAAATTACAATCATCGCACTTCCAGAAAAGTTTGCCATTGTTCGGTCCAGACTTCTTCACCTCACGGAGTGTGGCTTTCTGGCGGGGTTCACAGTTACCTTAAGAGATGTCAGAGTTCAGATCAATTCTTGGGTGGGAAAAGTTGCCACTTACACCACCAGTGTCCATCGCTGTAACGGCCCTTGGGCATGCGTTTCTTTTGTGATCGCGGCGTCTGGGGGTCTCTTCGACTCATCGACCTTGGTGTTGACACCATGATGAAGGTGTAGTTGGCGCAGCAACTAAGCTAGATCTGTAGACCGGGCGAAATGAGACGAGACGAGGACCACAATGATGATTGAACACCTATATTGCGTTTCGTCTTCAGGAATCAAATGATGTCGGTGAGAATACGCCTGCGCCAACGCGGGAGCTACCGTTGAAGTATGTCTAGTCGTACCTTATGAGCTCATGCGGGGTGCAAATGCAAGCGCTTAACTAATATTCGAGACAGAGCTGAGGCCAATCGTAATGTGAGAGGCTGGTTCAGTAGGCGGCGCCGCAGTTGAACCAACCACCAACCACCTCGTTGCACAGTAGCTACCTAAGCAAGGATTCTGTTTTATACTCAGCAATTTAATAAAGTGTCTATAGTCTTTGCCCAAGCTCATTTCAAATGAGTACAAATCAAAGTACTACTAAGCCTTTTGAATGCACCAAGTCGGGATATTTGACTGGCTTGGTCCCTTGTTCGAACAGTCCTGACACTGACAGACTAGCCAGCCTAGTCACGATCGATGAAGACCATATGGGATCGACTGTTAGTTCTTAATGACTAACTCATAACAACGGATTGAATATTGTAGTCTTTATCTGCTAATAAGAATACTAAAATTAGTACCTAAAAGTACTACCTATTTCTCACAAGGTAGTATAAGAAAGGTCACGTGATCGATCATGTCTAATCCTCGCCTGATTTTGCCATACGATCTCATGCCTCAATATGGTCCCACCAGAACTCATCACTACAGACTTCAGTTCATCGATTGCTTTGCCCATCCGACTCTCAACGGATTATAACTAGACTGCAACTACAAATCAGTCTGAAGAAGCCAAGTCTTGGTCGCATTCAATGGCTTCTCGCATGTCCTTCCAGCCCGGGCGCTTCGTCGCTTCGGCCTCAAGACTTAATCTTTTCACGTCCTCTTCTCTGGCTTCTCGAAGCGGCCGTTTCTATTCTTCACAACCGCCAAAGCCCCGTCGTAATGACGAGGTCAAGTTCTGGCCTTTCGTGGTCGTCATTTTGGTGGGAACAGGAGGCTATGTTGCCCTTGTCAATCGACGCAATGGTAAGCCAGGCTTCTGCGTCCATTCTCCGTATTTACTCTTGAAGGATAGTGCAACAATAGTGTCATTCCTGCGATTAAAATTTCATCTACTCAAACTTGTGCTGCGTTGTGATGCTGCTCACATATTCATTGACTGTGAAGATATCACTAACTGTCTCATAGGACGGATACACAACCCAGATCCTCACAAAAAGTTCACGTCATCATTCTAATGTCTCCGTTCTGCTGTTTCAAAAAGGTCACGGCACAGTCAATTAAATATGTACAATATAATAGCAAACCACCCCTTACATGCCTCTCTCACAAGATTCGCTCTGTGTTTAACATGCATTCAATTTATGTTCTATTTTGAAGAAGAGTGCCATGACACCATCTTCGCCTAAATGCTGGGAGGGTAGAAGACCAATATGCTCATGAAACCGGCTACGCCATTCGCATTAGCAACCCTTCGTTCGCTGGATTCCCTCTCTCATATGCCCAACGATGTATTAACACAAAGCAGGTATAACAATGTCCCCTATTCCCAGAAAAAAAGCCCCCTCATTTTTCTTCCCCACGACTGCTCTAGTCTCGTTTTTAGTCATGTCCTGGCATATCCTTCTCTGTTTTGCCTCGTCTAATCGTCATCTTCTGTCCTCTCCCGGGGCTCCCTGGGTTCGCGAGGTTCGCGAGGCTCCCGGTTTTGGTTCTGTCGGCGTCTACCGCCATCTTGGTTGCTGCTAACGCCGGCGTTGGCGACCTTGCGCTCCAACTCTTGGATCTCGCGCTCCCTTCTGTGCCTTGGCGTTGGCCTGCTCCTGGCGCAAAACGCCCAGAACATTCTGCAGGGTTGTCCTCCAGTGGTCAACCCGGTTGGCCAGCTCCTGGTACTGCTTCTGGCCAAAAACGCGGTATGTCACCTTGTGAACAAGGAATTTCTGGCGTTGCTGGGAAAGCTTGCCCTCAACAAGTCCGGCACGGATCACGTCAATGGCCCACATCTCAATCTCGTTCTCGGGGATCTGGAGAGCCTTGGTGATCTTGGAGTACTCGATCTCGCGGCTAGGGGTGGAGGCAGCCAAGCTGGAGAAAGTTAGGAGGCGCATCTTGCGGTGAAGCTTCTCATGGTCGAGCTTCTCCTTCTCAACCCAACCCTGGTGCTCGTCGTTGAAGTCGTTATAATCCTCCAGGTCCTGCTCAGCAAAGATATCGAGGAGTTGCGAGTACACGGGGTGTGAGTCGCTGAGGGCCTGGACGCTTGGAATTCCCCTCAGGTCTTGAAACAGGAAGTGGTTATTGGAAGTGAGTGCCTTCTTGACAGCACGAAGAGATAGTCGCTGGGCCTCCTCGGAGGAGATGGCATCGCCGTCGAATGTTCGGAGAGCCTTGACGACGTACTCGTAGGCTTGTCTGTCAGATTTTTAGCATATTGTTCAGCAGATGAACCATACAGGCGCGATCAGTGTCTGCAGACATCCCCAGGAATGGTTCCAGGCTGATTCCGAGTCGCCAGCAGAAGCACTCGCGCACACTGTACACATAAGGAAACAACTTACTGCTCCTCGCCAGCCTCAATAGCAACCTCAGCCACCTCCTCGTAAATCTTTCGCTGGAAATCGGCGTCGGTGCCCCAGGTAGCAAGCCACTCGGGCAGCTTATCCAGATATGTGCGCAGACTCTCAAACATGCCGTGAGCTCTCAGGAACTTGAGAATTTCCATGAAGACGCGGGCGCGAACGGGGTCGGTGGGGTCGAGCAGGTTAAAGACAGTCGTCAGGGCGTTGAGTGACAGGCCGGCGCCGTGGACGGGAGAGTTGAGGAGAGGCTTGGCAAAAGTGGTGCAGAGAGTGGGCAAGAACTTCTTGGGGTCGGAGGACATCAGGACAAGATGGGTCATGAGGTTAGAAGCGGCGGTATACTCCTTCTCGGGGACGGTGTTGAGGGCTCCAGAGGCCGAGACCAGTTTGGAAATGACCTCCTCTTGAGAAGGGGGCTTCTCCTGGCTCAGAAGCTGCTTGGCATCCTCAGCCTTAAGATAGTCGGCCATCTCGGCAGCGAGGTCCTCGAAGGATCCATCGACAAAGACCAGAGTGGGCTGGCCGGCAGTCTTGGTTTCGGCCATGTTTGCTGCCTTTGACTCCCTCGCGGGACTGGTAGTTCGATATAGAGATTTCGGTCGCGGTGATCGTCGAGTAACTCGTTCCGGCTTGGGCGGTGCGGACGAGGATAGAGCAACAGGAAAAGAAGCGAACTCCGGGGACGCGCGGGGGGACGATCTCGAGGCGTTTGTAAGGTCGACAAGCGGATAAATATGAAGTTTCTCGTCCCAGACGAATAGCCCTCTCTGGTGGGGCCTTGAGAACCCCGCCAGATA